CACCTGAATATACCTGCTTGTCGTATCAAATCTCTTTTAATTTTAGAAAATGTGCTAAACTTATTACATTTCTTTTCATTTAATTGAGAGTGCTCCACTCATCAGATATTTTTATCTTTGAATGAAAGAACTATAAAATTTAAATTCCTTTCCGATTAAAAGAAAATACTAAATTTATCAAATCTTAGTCTATTATAACAAAAGTACTCTACTCATCATATCTAATTCTATTTGCAAAAGTGCTCTAGTCAATAAATCTCATTTTATCAAAATAAAAGTATTTACCGCACTACATCTTTTTATATATAAATAAAAGTTCTTATAATCATAAAATCACTTTTTTATAAAAAAAAATTTACAAGATCATCAAATCACTTTTAATTTAAGAAGAAGTATTAAGCTCAAAGAATTTTTTAATTTAAATGAAAATACCTTACTATTTTAATCCCTTTTCATCTAAATATACATTCTTAACTTCACAAATGCCTTTTTTTTTAAATAAAAAGGCACAGATTATTAAATTCTATTCTTTTTAAATAAATGTACTTAACTCATTAGGTCGCTTTCTATTTAAATAAAGAAACTAGACTTATCAGATCTCTTACTATTATAATAGAGGTACTCTAATCATCAAATATAATTCTATTTAAATAAAAGCGTTTTGCTCATTACATCACTTTTCATTACAATAAAAGTATTTACCTCATTAAACTTTATTCTWTTAAAATKAAAGTTCTCAATACATTTGTAACGTCCCCGCAGTTAAAAGAGTAAAAGACGAGTGACCCCACAAATATTTGCCCTATTTTCGGTCAATCCGTAAAGCTGGTACTGTTCTAGGGATCTAAGCTAGAAGAGCCAACACCTGCAAGGTTAAAAGAATGATGAGGTGTACTTACCTTTGAAGAATTAGTAACACGACTTTGGGAACGAATTGTGTCGATTAAACGGTCGCAGAATTTCGGTGTAATACAGTTTTTTTTCCATTATGATAATGTTACTAAATTCACAGGTAAAACTAGAGTATATTCTTCTAAGTTACTCAAATAATTACACGAGGATAAATTAATAAAAATAATGTAGAATTCCGTCTTCTAAGCCAATAAAACAAAAAGAGTATCTTGAAAAAGACTGCTCTCGTTTCTAACGTATAACGAAGAATAATCTAGAAAAGTAGTCTTAGGTCGCTTAGGAAGAGAAAGTTTCTTGTACAAAAAACGCTTRAAAACCTATTATTAGAACAGAGGTTATTTACTAAGTAAATATTCGCGAATGAGTCATTTCATTTTTGTCGGTAGATCGTAAGCGAGGAGTCCCGTGACTCACGAGCCCAGCACGGCTGAGTAGTAGGTACCCCTACTCGCTTCCAAATACCCCCTCCAATACCGACTATTACAAATTCGTGATAACTTAACACAAGTCGGTAATGTAGGTAAGGCTGGTTACCCTATGAACGACAATCGACACATGTTTATACTAATATCACATGCTGACCAAATAATAACCATCAATGGTCGTTCATAAGAGTGCTTATAATGTAAGTAACAAAAATTTAAATTATTTTTTTTTTTCGTATAGTATGACAGGAAGATAAATCCCAACTATTAAATATTATTTAGAAAATGATTTACATTGGAAAATACGCCTTGCYATACAAAGTCGTCACTAGGACTTAACACCTCCCCCCTTAAAGGAGAAGCACGAAAGAGTCTACTATTAAGTGCTTCGTAAAGCCTCAACCCTATTGAAGACGTCCTCTTCTTAAGCAAAACTCTACCATCGTCAATATCTTCAGCAAGACCATCAGGCATTGGACAAGCCATCATGAAAAGACGGTTATGTTTATTCGGTGATTTCGACAAACACAACTGATTAGATTGTTCCGCAATAGTTTCTCTGTATGATACGAAGGGTTCAGACTTTTTAATTGGTATACAGGCGTGATCTTTTTCAAGATCTTTCAAACTGATTTCAAGTTTAGGTTCACTAGCACCAGCAATAATGTGCTTTCCAAATTCTTCGATGATACATTGCACCATAGGATCCGACTTAGCAAGACGTTTCAAACCTTTAACAAATTTTGGCAAATCTGCAGGATTCTTGGGTTCAACTGCTAYACGTACAACAGGAAAAACCGAGAATTTCATAACTTTTATTTAATGGGCATCCTAAAACGTAGTAATAGTAGCAGTTTTGACCAAGAATTGATAAACACCGACAAGTCCACAAATGTTACCAGAAGGTACATCTAAAATGGCTTCAACGTWACGACCTATCATCAAGATAGTACGTTGAATAACTTTYTCATACAAATCCTCTTTCTTTCTGGGTTGRAAATTCGGTCCCATAATACGGACCTTTATACTAGTACACACTTTACCAAGAAATACACGTCCAAAGGCATCTGCCATCGAATCCCACTGATCCAGCTAATGTGATGTTCCGGTAATCCGTTGTATTAACCTTGAGGCCACTCGCTTGCATGTAAGAGTTAAGAGCGAACATCCCAGTGTTTATTATAGATCTGCACACATCCGACGAACCGTCGATTAGATATATTCGACGCTTGTTATAGACAGCAGAGATGTGCGAGTTCATACCGTAATAGTAACTTTTTTTATCTATCTTAATTCGGCACTGGTAAACTGTTGTTTTACTATGGTCTTCTAACTGCAACATGCTGAATGTATCTGGTTGTCTTTGTCGGCGTTAGTGTGGGGAGGTAGYAATCCCCCGTACAATGGAGCGAAACGGTGATAATGTTAGCAGCTGCTCTTCCGCAGTCATATCCAAGTAGTGCGGTCGTCGTACAGGTAAATGCGGCYACGGCGATTGTGATTTTGATGTACATATCTCTTTGAAACTAATGTTAAATCAATATAAATTTTAATAAACTATATTTAAATGCAAGCTAATAGAAACTCGTCTTAAGCTTGTTTAGCGTATCATTGCATRATCGATGATGGCGTTAAGCTACTCTAATGAGCCTTTTTTATAAAAAAAAACGAATTGTAACRAATAGTATTATGATTCATAACTTATTACGACATTTCCGTTAAAGCTGCCGTAGTTTAGCATGGTTTAACCTTATTTTAATACCAAGAACGATTTTGTCGAATGTAAATTTACATGTTTGAATCGTTCATGAAGTTCGAGAAAAAATAGGTGCTAAACAAATTTATAAAGTTACGAGATTAACCACTAAGTAATAATAAAAAAAATAAAAAATAATTTAGTAGATAGCTTGAGAGGAGTTGAGATTTCTTGAGGTCGAGATTGACTGACTATTGTGTACAGAAGGTATTTATTTATTTTTTTTTTCTTTTTTTAATTTGTTCGCTTGTAGATGCTGGTTATAAATCGTCTATACGAAGCTATGCATCTCTCTATGTAGTGCCTTTTAGAGTAGAGTTGGAGATTCCCCCACTGACACTACCTTTAACTGTATATAAAAAGAAAAACTTACTCCAGCACCCATACTTAGTAACTATGTAGGTATAAAAACAATAACACATCTTAAAGTATTAGTTAATATTTGGAAARAGTAGGCTTATTTCGCCCAGATTTTCACTTTATCTTTATAAAMAATTCTGTTCCTATTTTTGTAACTGATCTTTATATTATTTTTAGGAAGCACTTCGAGAAATTGGTATGGGCCGGTGTAT